CACTGCCCCTCACCCACACTCACTGTTCCTCGCCCACACTCGCTGCCCCTCACCCACACTTTCTGCCCCTCAGCCACACTCACTGCCCCTCACCTACACTCATTGCCCCTCACCCACACTCACTGCCTCTCACCCACACTCGCTGTCCCACACCCACACTTGCTGCCTGCTGATGCCTCTTATGTGCCCATCACTGATTCTCAGTTCATAACAGGTTCTTCCTGGCTCTTATCTGCTGCCCATCACTGCCCTGTCTTTATATTCCATCCTTCATGCAATAAAGGCCAATGTTGTACTTACTTTCCAAATTATTTGTTGTATCTACATGCTAGTGATTTTGTTTCATGTACAAGAACATCCGATCCCTTAGCACCGCAGTATTTGTGATCTCTCTCTCTCTCTCCATTTAAATAATCATCTGTTTCCCTATCTACATATTTGCCCCCATTTCACTCTATTTGTAAAACTCTCAAACTCACATGACCAAAATATCCCAGACACACTCTTTGTGTTGTTCTCACAACTTGCTTTCTGACCTGTTTGGTATTGTCAGTAAAGTTGGCTACAATATTCTCAGTCCCTTCATCTTGTCATTCATACAGATATTCAATAATTGACGATGCTGCACTGATCCACTGGTCCTGATCAGTTCCAGTTTGCCAAACTGAGATGATCCATATATCCTGTCTCTCTCTGTTTCCTGGGTTAGCCAATCCTCTACCTGAGCTCATATATCACCCCCAATGACATGAGCTCTCACCTCATGCAGTAACCCTGGTCCTGGCACCTTATCAAATGCATCTTAAACATCTCAATACATTACATCTACCAGTTTTCCCTTACCCAGCCTATGAATTATATTCTCAAAATAATTCCAATAAATCGCATCATTGCCCTTCACTACCCAGCAGTGCCCATCTCTACACACAGAACCCCATTCTCCAATCATTGCCCATTGCTGCCCACTGATCTTCATTGTCCAGTTATTGGCCATGAGTGCCCACCGATTCTCATTGGGCAATGATGTGCAATAATGGGCAATGATTGGATAATCATGGCCCCTCCCTGTCCTTGCAGCCTCTGCCTGTTGACAATGTGCCATTACCTGTATGCCCAAGGTGAGATGGAACGGTGACTGAGGTCTCTGTTGTGTGTGAGATATTGACGGAGATCAGGGCAGCCTTTCTTCCCATGGCGTTTCTGCTGCTCCAGCTCCTTAACCAGGGTCACTGAGGGCAGCTGGTTCATGTTGGCCCTGCCCAGCAGTTTCTGCAGCCCCTTGGCCTGGCTCTCCATTTCCTTGGGGTTCCAGCAGTGATGAGCTTCATCTCTCTTTATCCTCACTGTATGGCCAAGCCCTGAGACCAGGAGGACCATGAAGAGAAGCTGCAGCAGGAACAGAAAGAGATCAGGAGAATCCACAAAACCACACCAAACCCTACCTGACTGTCCCACGAATGTCTTCCTTTTGTTACTTGCCTGGATGACTGCAGCTCAAGAAAGTGACACCACTTGTTTGTCACACCATCCACAAGCATCCCCTCCCTCCCCCACCCACACTCAGTAGCAGCAGTGTGTACCATCTACAAGATGCACTGCAGAAATTCACCAAACACCCTCAGACAGCACCTTCCAAACCCCCTTCAAGTTGCTCTCCAAGTCACTCACTAAACTGACTTGGAAATCTATCGCCGTTCCTTCACTGTCGCCGGGTCAAAGTCTGGGAATTCCCTCCCTAATGGCATTGTGGGTGATCCCACAGCAGGAGGACTGCAGCGGTTCGATAAAACAGCTTACCCCCACCTTCTCAAGGGGCAACTAGGGACGGGCAATATACCCACGTCCCAGGAGTGAATAAAAACACAACCAGCCTCGGGATTTGATGGATTTTCCTGGAGGCTAACAGGCGGACAGCTCCTGTTTTCCTGCTGTACCCTACCCCAGCCCTCTCTCTCTCTCTCTGTCTCTGGGTGGTCAGCTTTGCCGGTCTCTGAGGGGAAGGGGCTGATGTTGGAATGAGATTCTCTGAAGCTGCCTGTAGCCGGCCGCACCGCACCTATTCTCGGGGAACTTACCTTTGGAGCGAACTGCATTTCCGTGTCTCTCGCTGCTATCTCTCTGTCTGTGTCTGTGTCTCTCACTTATGGTCAGGCTCCTTCTCCTGCGCTCCTTGTTTCTGATCGCTGCCAGTTTCCTCCCATTTCTTTTATAGTGCAGATTGCTGTGGAAATCCCGAGCAGGGAAATGCTCCCAGCTTCCGTGTTATTGTCAGCGGCAAACAATGTGTTAGTGAGACACACAGAGACCTCACTCAGCCCTGCCCCCCGGGGGACAACTGGGAGACTGGGCTCACCCCCACAATATCCAGCAACCCTGGACCAGAGCTATACTGCCCGGTGTGTGGGCAGAGGCAGGGGGCAATGCAGACAGGAGCTATACTGCCCGGTGTGAGGGCAGGGGCAGGGGGCAATGCAGACAGGAGCTATACTGCCCGGTGTGAGGGCAGAGGCAGGGGGCAATGCAGACAGGAGCTATACTGCCCGGTGTGACGGCAGAGTTTTGGGGGGCGGGGATGTTTACTGCAAATGGTAGTTATATCCCATAACATTTTAGATTATGCTATCTTAAACCTACAAATTTTTCCTTGAAATAAATTGGAACTGTCTTGTCAGTAACCTCAATATCAAAGAAAAAAAATTGCCACATGCTCCAAATATCCAGCTTTCACATTTAACTAACGCTTCGTCTACGGATTAGATTCCAGTCTGTAACTCGCTCACAGGTATTTGTTATTATATATATAAACCACCCCATAGTCTTCGATTAGATTCCAGTCTGTAACAGACTTCTGGGTATTTGTTACTCTATATATAAACCACCCCGAACCCCTCGATTAGATTCCAGTCTGCACTCACTCCCGTGTATCTGTGATTCCACATGTAAAACACCCCGATGCCCTCGATTAGATTCCAGTCTGTAACTCACTCCTGGGTGTCTGTTATTCTATATACATACCGCCCAGAAACTTTCGATTAGATTCCAGCCTGTATCTCACTCCCAGGTATTTGTTATTCTGTAAATAAACCACCCAGAACCCCTCGATTAAATTGCAGACTGTAACTCATTCCTGTGTCTCTGTTATTTTATACATAAACCACCCTGAACCCCTCAATTAGATTCCAGTTTGTATCTCACTCCTGGGTATCTGTTATTCTGTATATAGACCACTCTGAACCCCTCGAATAGATTCCAATCTGTAACTCACTCCTGGGTATGTGTTATTCTATATATAAACCACCCCCCGAACCCCTCGATCAAATTCCAGTCTGTAACTCATTCCCGGGTATCTGCTATTCTAGATAGAAAACACACCGGACCCCTCAAATCGATCCAGTCTTTAGCCTCATTATGGGAATATTCTAAATAATCTCATGGACATGCGAAGAATATTTAGCTAATTTGGAGAATATAGATAATACATCTATCTAAGTCTGATATACAAGCTGTGCCTGTACTGGTGATACTTCTCTTGGTATTTAACTTGGTTGATGTGTTATGATCTGACTCTGCAAACACCATAATTATAAAGATATCTGCATACTATTCTGGCAATGAGAGAAGACTGTTTACTGTCACACATAGACAACATCTGGGATTGAAAGCTCGTAATATGAATAGCGATCAAGAAAATATCACTGATTGTTGTAAAAGCTTAACTGGTTCATTAGTGACTTTTAGAGAAGTGAACCTAGTATCCTTACAAGTTATGGCCGAGGGCTGACTCCAGACCTGCACCAAAGTAGTTGACTGTGATCTTCCCTTCAGGGTACACGAGCCACTCAGTTATAACAAATCACTGTCTAAATATCTAACCCAATGGGCTGTAGTGGTTCAAGAACAAGATTCCCCACCACTTTCTCAATAATAATCAGGGATGGCACAAATGTTGACCTCTCCTGCAACACCCATTTCCCATGAAAGTATAAAGAAGATACTACTTCCTTGTTTCACATTTGCACACACGCCCCTTTCCTACACAATTGCAGCAGACTTGTGCAAGAAGGTGAGACTCATCTACTGCTCCCACATTACAAACAATAAAGACTAAATTTGGAAATTTGTTATTTTCTGTTACATGGTTCAGAAAAGGTAGGGAAGTTCAGTGGCAGGTACTAATTGAGGCTGACATTGCAGTTTTGAAAACAGAGGATGCCCCTAGGACAACAAACACCAAATCCATTTGGTTACAGTCAAGAAGCAAACAGGATATGATCACAAAACAGCGCCATTCTATAGAGATTCACAGCATTAAAAAAAGAGAGAAAGGGGATCAAATCTGAAGGGAAATCCCAGAGATGAGCATAAATTATAGAATGGTGAGACTGGGAGACTTCCCATAATCCAAGCATCAGTTGGAATATTGTTAGATTGAAAGGTGAGAGAGGAAGGAATTTCTGAATAGCCTTCACAAAAATTTTCTAATCAGTAAGTTCTCGGTGAACCAGAAAGGAAGCATTGCTATAATTTTTTTTATTAACTTGTGGGGCATGTGTGTCACTGCCTGGGCCTGGCATTTATTGCCCGTCCCTAGTTGCCCCTTGAGAAGGTGGGGGTGACCTGCCTTCTTGAACTGCTACAGTCCATGTGCTGTAGCTAGACACCCAATGCCTTTAGGTACAGAATTTCAGGATTTTAACCTAGGACCTTCATTACACTCTTACCAATAAAGTCATGGACAGATGCATCTGCAGCAGGCAAATTGGTGAGGATGGGGTCAAGTACATTTTCTCTCTTGTTGGTTCCCTCACCACCTGCCGCAGACCCAGTCTCGTGGCTATGTCCTTTATTACCCAATCAGCTCAAACAATAGTACTGCTGCCGAGCCACTCTTGGTGGTGGACATTGATATCCCCTACCCAGAGTACATTTTGTGCCCTTGCCACCCTCAGAGGTTCCTCCAAATGATACTCATCATGGAGGAATATAGATTCATCAGCTGAGGGAGGACAGTATGTGTTAATCAGTTGGAAGTTTCCTTGCCCATGTTTAACCTGAAGCCACGAGACTTCATGGGGTCCGAATCAATGTTGAGGACTCCCAGAGCAACTTCCTCCCAACTGTATATCATTGTGCCACCACTCTGCTGGGTCTGTCTTGCCAGTGGGACAGGACACATGGTATGGTTATAGTAGTTACCTGTAAAGTATGATTCTGTGGATACAACAATATCAGCCTGTTGCTTGACTAGTCTTAATGCGTCTATGCATTGCTATTTCTCAAAGAAGAGGAATATAACCAATTATCAGAAGGAGTGGCCATGGTAGAGGTAATGGATATGGTGGAAGTTGCGAGGAAGAAGATACTGGAATGCTGGCCACGTTCAGAGTGGATAAATCACCTGGCCAGGTGTCTGGCCTTCCAGACGTGGAACATTCCTTGTTCCAGTCCTATTCTGGCCCCCATCCACAATTCTTTCTCTGATAAATCAATGATATCGTCAGTGCTGCTTCCCTCTCTCTTCTGGAATTGGAAAAGTTTATCGATTTGGTTTCCAATTTCCACCCTGTCCTCACTTTCACCTGGTCTATCTCTGATTCCTCCCTTCCTTTCCTTGAGATCTCTGTTTCCATTTCTGGGGATAGGCAGGCCACTAATATCCACTATAAACCCACTGACTCCCACAGCTACCTGAACTATACATCCTCACACCCCACTTCTCCTGTAAAGACTCCATCCCTTTCTCTCAGTTCCTCCGTCTCCATCATGTATGTTCAGATGAGGCCAACTTTGACAAGGGAGCCTCCGAAATATCCACCTTTTTCCTCGACCAAGGGTTCCCTAGCTCCGTTGTCAACAGGGCCCTCGATCAAGTCCAACCCAACTCCTGCACTTCCACCCTCACGCTCTCTCTTCCCTCCTGCAACAGCAATAGGGTTCCCCTTGTCATTACCTACTATCCCACCAGGATCCACATCATCAGACGCCATTTCCACCACGTCCAGCGAGATACCGCCATCAGTAACATATTCCCCTCCCATCCCTTGACCGCCTTCTGCAGGGACTGATCCCTCCAGGACACCCCTGATCCACTCTCCTTCGCTCCCAAGTAACCCCCCACAAAGCCCCACGGCACCTGCCCCTGTAACCAGTGAAGGTCTAACACCTGCCCATTTACCTCCTCCCTCCCCAGTATCCAAGAGCCCAAACATACCTTCCAGGTGAAGCAACACTTAACTTGCACTTCCCAGAATCTAGTCTACTGTATTCGCAGCTCACAATGTGGTCTCCTCTACATTGGGGAAACGAAGCTTAGACTTGGCGACTGCTTCGCAGAACATCTACATTCTGTTCATAAAAAAGACCCTGAACTACCTGTTGCCTGCCACTTCAATGCACCACCCTGCTCCCTGGCCAACATCTCTGTCTCTGGCTTGCTACAGTGTTCCAGCAAAGCCCAACGCAAGCTGGAGGAACAACACCTCATTTTCCGCTTGGGGACACTACAGCCCTCTGGACTCAATATTGAGTTCAATAATTTTAGGGCCTAAACTCTCCCATGTCCCCGCCCCCCACCCCACACACCAGGCCTTGTTACCACATAGCCTGCCATTACACACCCCCTGTTGTTAGTCACTAACAGTCCCCATTAACAACTACTCACCCTCCCAGCCTGATCGTTAGCAACTCTTTGTCTGTCCAACTGTTCTTCTCTCTCTTTGGTGTCCATCCTTTATCCTATCATTTACTTCCTACCCCATTCCGCTCCCTATTTTCTGCATACAAACCAACATTTTCCCAGCTACCATCAGTTCTATGGAAGGGTCACCAGACCCGAAACATTAACTCTGATTTTTTTCTTCACAGACGCTGCCAGACTGGCTGAGCTTTCCCAGCAACTTCTGTTTTTGCTCCTGATTTACAGCATCCGCAGTTGCAACAAGACTTCCTTGCTCCTATATTCTACGCACCAGCCAATGAAGGCAAGCATCCCATAGGCCTTCTTTACTACCCCATTTACCTGGGCTGACACCTTCAGGCATCTATGGACGAGTGCACCAAGGTCCCTTTGTCCCGTAGTACTCCCTAGGGACCTACCGTTCATTGTGTGTATCTTTCTCTTATCAGACCTTCCAAATTGCATCACTTTGCATTTATTGGGATTAAATTCCAC